ATATATATATATATATAGGTAGTATAATTATTTAGAAACAACGACCGTGCGTGCGCGTGCGGTTGATTCATATGTAGTTAGTTCTACGTGATACATATACGCGGTACTACACTGAGAAATAAACTCAAATTGACCCCGTATTAATAGCCTAACATAATAAAATAATTACGCTCGTTCTGCGTAGGATTTATCATTGAATGTTCCATGTAGTTTTACTTAAGATTTTGTAAACCCTATACGAGGTAGTATGATTATTTACAAACAGGGTCCGCGCGTGTGCGTGCGGTTGATTCATCTGTAGTTACTTCTACATTATACATATACGCGGTACTACACTGAGTAATAAACTAAAATTGAATATATACATTACATTTCCCGTATTAATAGCCTAACATAATAAAATAATTACGCTCGTTCTGCGTAGGATTTATCATTGAATATGCCATGTAGTTTTACTTGAGATTTTGTAAACCCAATACGAAATGAACAGACTGTAGGCCCATACAACGACCGCCGGTTATATATATATATAAACCATATTGCCATATGCTATGTAGTTTTACTTCAGATATGGTATACCCTATACGACTTTTATTTATCTAACCAATCGAGGTCTGAACCCTCACATTGAAAGGAGCTTTTCCGCACTCCATAATCAAACAGTAGTTCTTCTCCTGGGCCAATATCGCGAAGAGCGCGGAAGACAACAGTGGGCTGGTCCAGCACCTCGCAGTGCGGTTTTATATTGACATTTTTGGTTTTTCTTGAATGATTAAGAAGTCGGCCAATGGTGCTAGGTTTATCCGTGTGGCAGGGACACGGCACATCCTGTGCATTGATGCAATAGCGCTCCCCAGTGTTCGGCATTCTGAAGAAAAACATGTAGCCACTTTCTCCCTCTGCGATGTTAGCGTGGCGTTTGATGCCCTCTTCGTGGGTTAGTAGTGTGCCATGGTAGTCACACACTACCTCTCCGTGCCGAAATGGCCGCGTCGCTGTGACTCCACGGCCCTTTTCTGAAGTAAATGCAGATAACCCTGGCCAGCGTTGCTTTTTAATTAATGATTGCAGCTGCAATCTGCCGGTGTTGGTTCCTCTCACCGGTCGGGTAGGCGACCAATCTGCAAGGATTGCTTCGCCCAGGGTTTTGGAATCCCAGTCCTTCTGCATCAAGAATTTTTTTAGTTGCTTTTTAGATGGCCTCACTCTTGGAAAGGACTCTGCAAAACAAATTTGTATTCTCTGTAAGATAATTCTTAGTAACGCATGCACATACATTATGAAATACGCGTAATTAAAATAAACAGTTGATAACCTTGATGAGCGAGCCAGGTCAATAAACCAGTGATCCGTGAATGCGTAGTGCATGGTTCTTAGTGATTCACAAGCTTAGTATACTATCCCACTCGTGTTTACAGGAGCGCTCTTCGTATATTGACATCACGTTTCATATTTCTAATTCATTGACTTGGTTTGTACAGGGGATTTAAAAGAAACAATAATAGCAAATATTTGTTGGATTGCATTAACTTAGATCTGCCATAGAAACTCACCAATTCCTTCTTTACAGCGGAGCTTCGACCTCTCGTACACCCAGCGGTTGTATAAAGTGTCTCCCAGTGAAGACTCGATCATCCTGCACGATTTCCGCTTCGGCGGTTTGGTGTCGACATGCAGCGGATGCGCTTTGATGAGTTGGGAAAAGGCCGCGTCCTTGTGCATCCTTATTATGTAAATAAAAGTATATGAATAAGATACATATTAACAATTGAGTCAGATAAATGAAAAAAAAATTATAGATAAAACAAAATATCCATAAAAAAAGTTTCATGTTTTTCGTGTCCACTGTTTTGATAATGATCAGGTATGAGACGCATTCGCGCAAAGGCTGTCGCTGTAGGTACATGCCGTGAGTTTATAATATACTTGGCCGCTTATAAAGACAGACAACTTCTCAATGGGGTTATAAACTTCAGTTATAAATGGCCACTAATGGTGAAAATGCCATAAGTACGTAAACAAGTGCAAATTTCGCCTTAAAATTTATTATTCCAATATCCACTTTATTGTGAAATGGAAACAAATACACAGTTTAACACTTATTTATAATGCTCTTCATTAGAAAGTCGTTATACCTTGTCGGATTTTCTTCAGGCACTGCAGGCATTGCTTCGTTGGTTGGCAGGGGAGATTCCACCCTCTCGTCTCCACTACTGCCAGTTATGCTGGTTGCTGGTTGCGGCATTCTGCATGTTTCGGTATTTCTGCAAAATAAAAAAAGATGTAAGTTTTCTCGAGCAACAGGGTAAATGTGTGGTGGTGGTTGTATACTTATGGAGGAGAAGCTAGTTTTAAAATCATGTGGATACTGAACC